TTGCCAGCTGCTGCAGACAGATCATACAGCTTTGCTCCGTCCACCCAGGAGCAAGATGAATCCAGAACCTTTTACCTCCAAAATGTGGATTTTACTTTGCTTTTAGGTTATTTGCTTGGAAAAGAAGGAATCTTCTTCCCCATTCAAGGAATGTCTCCCTTGAATCCGTGCCAGGATTTCTGTTGAGAGGAATCATAGAATCACAGAATACCAGGTTTGAAGGAGGAAAGGTGATATTTGCAGCCGGACCCTGTTCTCTTTCTCCACCGCTTTTGCACCCTGAGCCTGCCCCTTTGCAGCCCTTTCGGGGAAACCTGGTTACTGTTTCCATGAACGAGATAACAAAAACGTGTTTATCCTGTGCAGATCAATACACCTTTGTGTTTGAATGTATTGAGACACTTGGACACTTTTCATGAAGGCTGTTTTGCACTGCTAAAACCCCCTTACCCTGTGCAATCTCTCCTTGCAAAGAGCCTTTTTAAAAAATGGATAAGTATATTCATTCTTTACCCTTAGTAACCCAAATAGGTTGTTATTAGAGGAACTATTTTCCTTTAGGTTATTTACTTGCTTTTCAAGGTTTTAAGTGTTTGGGATTTTTTTCCTCTCTCCAGGCTCTATACAATACATGTTCATATATATACATCATGAAGCACTCTTCATATTCTTCCTAAAAAACAGACACTTGAAGCTTCATGAGCTGCCACCAGCTCTTTGCTGGGGTGAGACATACTGTGAGATGGAGTCCGATTGAATAATGCAGCATGAGGCTTTAGTCCCTTTGCTTTCCAGGGCACAGGTTTTTTTTTCCAGCACAGGTGGTCCCACAGAAAGTGGGAACTCACAGGTATTTGCAGGAAAGCAAAATAAATTCAAGGTAATGGAAAAGCGCTGCACACTTTGCAGCGCATGAACCCTGGAAAAACAGTTCACGTATAACCTGGCAAACGTTTTTCTTAGCCTCTTTTGCTCGGGAAGCTGCTTCTCTCTTTGAAATACCTTTCCTCTCGCACATGGCTTTTGCAGCTGTGTTCTCAAATACACACAACATGCCCCTGAAAGCCCTCTGTGAGGATGAAGGGTACCTGATGCTGAGCCCAGCCTCCCTCCTCCCCCTTTTATTTGTTGCATCACGTGCTGGATGCTTTGAAGCCAACCTTCCTCCTGTGCCTGCTCCCACCCGAGCCTCTTATTTTGCAAAGGGAAAATAGCTTAAGAGAAGCATAATGTATTGGGCAGAAAGCCTACTATTTTGAATAGATTAGAGAAAATTGAGAGGTTTTTTTTTTTAGCAGTGACTGCCTTTGAAATGGAGACCAACCTTTTACAAAGAGAAGAAGTTGCAAATAAGAAGTTGGCTGGGAAGATCTCTAATGATTAGCTGTAGAAAGTTGTGCTTTAACAAATTGAGATTGAATTATCACAAGGAAAACCCCTCCTCCCCCTCCACCTTTTCTGGCTTTGCTTTTCTGGCAACTGCTGGCAGCCAGCATGGGGAAAGAAGTAAAAACAGCTCCTTGCTGTTGCCAATTCACAGAAATTACTCTGAGGCCCCCCAGTGAGCCCTTCTCTCCTCATTTTGCCCATCAAAAAACTAAGGGGAGCTCTGCAGGGCTGTGCTGGCACATGGGTCCAGCTACATGGTGCAGGGGGGTCCTGACCTTCCCATTCTGACTTCACCGGTGCCCAGCAGCGCTTGAGGTATGAATTTGATGGTGGGGCACCATCAGGGGGGAAGGCACATGATGAAGCTGCTCCTTTCCCATCCCAGCCAAAAGCCCTGTTTCACAGGGGCCCCAGTCCCTGTGCCCCAGACCTTGCGATAGGATGAGCGGGCACGTACCTGAGCAATTTTGGAGATCACCACCCAGGAAAAAGGTCTCCTTGATTATGGAGAGTTTGCGACGTGTCACTCCGGTTATTCTCTAATCATCATATCAAACTCCAAAGGTTCAGCAGCTGTGGGGCTGGTTTACAGTCCCTGTAGGTTAAACGTTAACCTGCTCTATCTCCCAGCTACCTGTAGGCCTTTGACCAGATAGCTGGGTCACTGCTGCTCCGATGGCACTAGTTTGTTCGCTCTGTGCTGAAGGCATTCCCAGCTGATTCATCTCAATTGCTGCTGCTGTCCCCAGTAGAGATGCTGGGAGAAGGGACACAGCCTTGTGCCCATCCTAGCTTCAACAGGATGTTTTGGCTTGCTGGATTAAAATGGCAGGAGTGAGAAATCCCTCTCACTGGTGGCCTTTATGCATGTAGCCTGCAAATGGCACATTTGCAGGATTTGCCATGAAAACATATCTGAGCAAAGACTGAATATACTTGCAGGGAGGAAAGTCAGTGCAGGTTTTCAGGATGATTTGTTGCACCTAGAAAAGGCTGCAAAGAAGTTCAGTGGCCATGAATCTCTGTGATAGGTGGCTTCTGGATTTGGCAATCTGAGCATCCGATACTGTGGTCCTCAGGTTATGATGTTGCATCTGTTGACGCAGCAGCAGAATTGAATATTTGCCTTGGCTAAAATCTTTCTGGACCCTAACAGTAATGAAATGGATGTCACAGTGGTTTGGCAGAGTAATTTCTAATACGATGTGCAAGCTTAGTATCCCAGCATAAGGATCTGTCCCTGCAATTACATCCTGCTGTGGCTATTTCTCACCTCAATACTGGACCATGATCGCACTACAGCCTGTAGGTTTGCCAGTCCTAAAGCTGACCCCTGCTAGCAGCCTTAGCCTACACTGATGCTGATCTACATTTAAGGGAGTCTCAGGCTTGGTTTTGAAGCATGTTAAATGAAGTATTTACGATTAGGTGTTGCTGACGCTTCATGTTTGTAAAAGTGCCTTACTGGTGTTTGCTCAGCTTTAAAAGCATTGGGTATTCCTGTGCGGTGGGTAGATAACAAGGGCCTTGCTCCCTCAACACAAGCAGCATCTTGCTTCACAATCATCTTCATCTTCATTCTTCATCATCATCATCATGCTTCATCTTGCTCCTCACTCAGGGCAATCCACTGTCTCACTGAGGCAATGTTGCGCTCACCCATTTCTTGGCCCGAAATCATGATTGCTCCCAGGTAAATGTCTGCCCTCCAGTATCCACCTTTCTGCTGAATACAAAGGTTCAAACGCAGATTTGGGAGCACATTTAAAACAAACAAACAAAGAAACCCCAAAACCAAACCAAATCAACCCAACACCCTCCCCCCCCCCTCCCCCCAGTTATGTCTGCCTACCACTGAGCAGAGTACCCAGACAGGTTTTGGGGTCTGCTGCTTCTTCTGACCTCCTGAACAGAGCTTGGGAGTGACGGACAGATATAACATTGGATTTTTTTTTCCCTATGAAAGGGATTTTTATGTCTTTCATGTGCCATCCTATTTCATCTGTCTTAAGGAATTGGTAAGATTTGATCACTGGTGACATTAAATTTCAGACTCAATGCTAATGTGCCACCAAGCACTTCGGACTCTACAGGGAAATTATTTGAAATAATTCAGTGATCAAATAAATGCTTCTGCCTGGAATTGTGACCTTGGAGGGGGGTGAATCAGCTCCAAAAAATGAAGTGTCATGCATCTTCATGTGATCATCATAAAAGGAAGGAATGAAAAAGCCTTTGGGGGAAAGACAGCAATGTGAGATGTTACCTCAGTGTGGGTAACAGGGGAGTCTGATGATGCGTGAGGCAAGACTGGAAAGTCTTGCTGGGAAGGAAAAGCCATCTGTTCGTTAGATGAAATGCAGGTGGTGTGTAGTGTTAGATATGTAAATAGAAGAATTTGGGATTGAAAGCCAGTCATCAAGCCTCATCATGGTGTAGAAACTGTCTGTGCTTCCATTGGATTGACCCACAGACACAGGGGAATCATGAAAACACATTTGGACATGAAGGCCCATGGAAAGTCATTCAGATACCGAATTATGTTATTTTAGCATAACTTTATGAAGGCCCTCAGGGTTGTGCAGAAAAGGCAGCCGTTCTGCTTTTCTTCTCTGCCTTCCTCTCTCTGGGACAGGTTTTCTTCAGAAGAGGAAAACTGATCAAAAGAGGAGCTGTGATCTGTGCTTATATTTCCTTGAAACCTCTTGAGAAGCCCCAAGAGCAGCAAGGCATAATTGTTTCCTTTTCCACAATCACACCATCAGTGGGTTGCCTGTTCAAGAGTCTCCCTCAGCTTGCCAGGTGGGGTTAGAGAAAAGAACATCCAGCTCAAGAAAAATGATACTTAAATGGATGTCACCCCTTTGTATTAATTATTGATTGCAACAAAACCCCTGAGGTGGCCCCAATCCTCCAGCTTCCCCTGGAAGTGCTGCAAGAAATTTCCCAGGCTGTCCAGTGAGGCCTTAATGGCAAATCTCCAGTTCAGCTGACAAATCCGGTGGTGGTGGTGGTGGCGGTGGTGTCACTTCTTGGTCTCTGCTTCCTCAGGTTTTGAAGTAGGGAAGATTTTCATTTAGCATTGGGCTTTCTTCGAGTGTTGCTGGGGAAGCTCAAGAGAGAAAAGAGATGGGAACTCAGGAGGACACAATTTCAGAAACCACCAGTGGCAGGGACATTGTTCACGTCCATTAGAAATAGCTTGACATGCTACAGTAGGTAGATGTTCCTAGAATCCACGTTGCCCCAAAGTCACATGAGTGGGTTACTTGGCTTGGGCAGCTTATGTAGTGCAAAAAGAGACTTTGCAAGAAAGATAGAAACAGGTTAAAAAGTACAGAGCAGTTATTTACTAGTTAATGCATGTGCTGGTTAGCTGAGACTTGGGAGCTTCTATGCCAAGCAGTGTTCACTACCCCCCAGTGGACACCCGAGCAAAGTTCACCTCCTGGCCTGTCATTAGCCAGGTGGGGAGGGTTGACCTCCATCATGCCTGGGAAGGGAACCTCAATCATGTTTCCAGTCCCTTAGCCTTCTTTACTGGAGCTTCTTTCTCTGAATCCTTGAGCTGGGAGTGGATCCATCTCAACCACCATCCATGGTTGTTCTCAGGTGTTTTAACCAAGGCTATGTAGCTGGGCTGGATCTGCAGGAAGCCCTGGGGTCAGTGGAACTGGGCCCATAGGAGCTGAGCTAGAGGTAAGACCAAGCAAGCCCTCACTGGAGAGGCAACTGCAGCAGGTGTGGCAGAACTGGCTGCCAAGTGGTAAGAAGATAAAAGGCTGGACCCAACATAAGGACACATCTGATCTGACATGGGGGCACTTGTATGGGGAAGTCTGCCATGAAGTGGGAAGGAAAGCAGAGGCTCTACCAAGGTAAGATGTGATCAGGAATTTTGGGGGGGAGAATGGAGATCTATGGGTACAGATGTGCTTACCAAAAGACTGATGTGGCTTTGAGTGGTGAAGGAGCCTGGGGCAGGAGCCTTTGTGCATCCCCATATTTGGAGATGTGGATGGTGCTGGAGGCTGCTTTGTCAGGTCCTTGTTCCCTTTGTCTTACACATAACCCAATAAGTTGTATTGCAGACCTTTGCTGGGAGGCTGGGCTTTAAGAAACAAAAGGCCTCAGCTTTTGCTGGGTGGAGCTGTGATCTATGATATAAGAAGACCTACCTTCTCAAGCCCTGAAAAAAACATCAAAATGGTGATGAGATTGAATATTAATACCTCAGCTGTAATGTAAACATGTCTGTGTTACCAACACCCTTCCCTTGCTTGGTAGTGTTGAAAGCATCTCTCAAGTACTCTGTTTGCTCTGCTTGATGGGGACACCTGGGTTAGACTGATCATGTTGTGCTTCAGAGACACCTGAGTGCAGTAGCTCCTGGTTAGTAGCATGCCCACTGCAGGGGGATGGTCAGCTGGAAATGGAGGAAGAAATGTGCTGTTTTCAAAAAGGACTTTGAATTTTCCCAAGTGGGCTGTAGATCCAGTAGGACATCTAGGTTATTATTAGGGAAGGTTATATATGTGTGTGTATACTAAGAGCCATGAGTTACAGGTTGCATTGCACATCATTAAAGCTTATTATAGCTGTAGAAACCTTTGGTCCCTTTCCCCAGAATAAATCTGCATACTGTAACGTTACTGTGGTCTAGAACTGTAAACAAATCAAGTCTTAATGGTTTCAAAAAACAACCCTATGATTCAGCAGCCTGCAGCATACCCTGTGAAAGAATTGCTTCTAGGCTGCAAAGGAATTTATATTAGAGCAAATAGTCTGTGTATATGTATATTTATATTTATATATAAACCATTTGGTCCCAGTTCCAAACTGACATCAGGTGAAAATCAAACTCTTTTAAAATATTTTTAGTAACGGAGTTTCTGCATTCCCCATTCCTCTGGCTGGAAAGTCTCTAGCCTCTTGTGTTGCCACTTGTCTCTTATTGTGGCTGAGATGTTTAGCATTTGATCATGCCACAGAGAAGCAGCAGTGATTTGCCACTGGCACATGTCCTGACACTGCCAAAGAAAATAGAACAAGTTATAAACATTTTGTGTGTCTGTGGTCTTAAATACTCCTTTGGTTTAGAATAGTTTGATATGACGTGTTTGTGTAAGGTTAATGTTTGAATATTGATCAAATATTGACACTATGCTTGTCCATAAATGTTTTCTTATTCCCCTGCTTGCAAATCTAATGTCTTTTGTAGCGTGGTGCTTGAGCCTGCTTTGTTTATGACATCTGCAGTCTCATGGGTTTTCTGCAAGTGCTACTAATGGGGATCACAAGGGGAAAAGTACAAAAAACAGTTTTGTAATTCCACCCTTGTTGCCCAGTATAATGTCAGTCTGAATAATCATAATGCAGGAACTGAGTCCTGTATCTGAGCGCAGGTGACTGTGTCCCATCAAGCCCATGATATGTGCTTATTCCTAATTTGTCTGCCAATATGGGTTTCTAAAATTTGTGTCATGAAGGAATTGCCAGAAAGCATTTTAAACCAGCAGCTGGTGGCAGTACCAGTTGTGAAAATGTTATTGTTTCCTTGTTATGGGAAGTGTGTTTTAATTCTGTAACCTGTTGGCGTGTCTTTCCCTTTGGCATATAATTCTTCAAAAGACATCGTTAGACCCAAGTGCTTGGGAAGTTAATTAAAAGTTAGATTCCACGCTATACCAAAAATTTCCCAACCTGCTCCCTAACTTCCTCCACCTCATCCCTCCTTTTCTCTTCATTCAGTTTCTTTATACTATGAGCTTTACTCAAGGTTTGGAAAAAGATTTATCATGGGCCTAATATGTTAGAAATAGTTACTTTTTACTACTTTGTACTGCCTATTACTTTTTCTTGTTTTTCATATAATGTCCTCCTTAAGTAGGAGGCAATGAAGGCAAACCATGACACTGCAGGTTTTCAGGTTTATGTAATGTAGGTTAAAAAATTAATTTCTACAAAATGTCATGGGTAAGTTGTCCTTTGTACAAAAACATGGCAGGTGGCCAGTTTGTCATTCTCAGTGGTCATGACTGTCATAAAATGCAAAGAAATAAGACTTATCTGAAAATAAGACTTCTGAATATGTGCTTCACAGGGAAAATAAGAGCTGGGACAATGAAAATTAATACCTGGGTGAATATTTTCATAGCATGGAAGTGTTAAAATTTGGGTTTTACTTTTTGGTAATTTTTCCCTTCTTCCTCCCACAGTAAGCAGACATTAAAATTATCTGTTGCGGAAATGGCTTTCTCTAAGCTTTGACTTCCCAGCCAGTTCTTATTACACCTTTAAGTACGTTCTAAAGTAATAGGATGTTCCAATAGTAATGGTTTACATTAAATATAAATGAAAATTAATAATTGGATTTACTGTATAAATCACTGACAGGAAGCCTTCTAATGCTTTTACTACTTATTAAAATAATATACTTAAAACTGTGTCACATCTGAAACCAAATCTTACAAAACAAACAAGCAAACTCAAAGGCCAGATGTGCTTATTTTGCAGCACCTTTTTGTGGTTTATGTGTGTGCAGGAGAAAAGTTTCCTTTCTCTTTTTGGTTGTGTTTGGTTTTTTGTTTTGTTTCAGTATAAGTAAGTGAGATGGAAAACACAGGACTCACACAGTTATTTGTCTATTTGTTTTGGAAGGACACTCTGCACGAGGTTGCATGAACTTAACATGCTGCAGCCTGCATGGATACCTACAGAATATAACCTATTTTTATAGAGATCTACAGAGATCCTGAAGCAGTGGTGGAAATAAAGCTGTTCAATAGCACATGGACTGTGGTGCTTGGGCTCTAATACTGGTGTAACTTCAGGAACTTGGTAGCTTCCTCAGGGGCTGCAGGTTCAAACAAGGGGAAACCACCCAGGTGGTACAGTGTACCTTGAAACAGCCATTGCCAAATGTTACAAAGCAAAGCAAATAAATGTGGTTTGTTGGTGTGCCCAAGAGAGGAGAACAGAAAGCAAAATTTTATCCATGTGGTTATAAACCATCCTAAGGAAAAAGACATTTCTAGGGACAAAAAATATGTCATTGAATTAGGGTTTTGTCCTGTATGGAGTGAGAAATTTGTCATTAAATATTGCAGCTATCTCCTGGTCCTCCTGTGAGCCTGTGTGTAAATGTGGTGCACATCTCCTTCAGGCACAAACTGTTAGGAATTAGCTGGGAGCTGATGGTTTGGCAATATTGACATCAGTCAAAAAATCCCACCTGATAAGGGAAAGCTGGTGGTGAAAGGGAAATCTCCCTGTGGCTGGGTGCACAAGTAAAGAAGGTGGAAACAATGGCACTATTCTGTTTTTTTTTTTTTTGAGGGAGCAAATATTGAACTATGCATAAAATAGAGGAGGTCGGAAACTTGGTATTGATCTTAGACTATAAGGGCATTGGTAAGAAAAATGGTAATAATTTGCACAAAATACTAGGCAAGTCTAGGTAGGAGAGATGTGGGGGAATGAGGCTTGGAGGTACTCTATTTTTATATATAAATACAACTTTAAAAAGGCATTGATGGACCTTGGAGACTTTTCTTCTGCTGGGAGACCAGGAGGAAAATGAGCCTCCTGCAGGGTTATGATCTTATTGGCACCAGAGATAATGTGGTGGGATGGCTCCTATGACTGGAGCCCTGGAATGGAAGTATACAGGATGGACAGACAGGAGGGGTGAGGAGGCAGTGTCACCCTCTATGTCTGACCAGCTGGAGCGCATGGAGCCCTGCTGATGGATGACGAGCCTACTGATAGCGCATGGGTCAGGATTAAAGGGCAGGGAGAAGCGACATTACAGTGGGGGTCTGCTACAGGTCGCTGGACCAGGGAGATCTAGCAGATGACGCCCTCTATAGACAAAAAGGTGAAGCCTCGTGTTAGCAAGCTCTGGTGCTGATGGGGGTCTTCAACCACGCTGATATCTGTTGGAGGGACAACAAAGAAGGGCACTAGCAATCCAGGAGGTTCCTGGAATGTGTTGATGGTAACTTCCTTCTCCAAGTGATAGAACAGCCAACGAGGAGAGGTGCTATGCTGGACATTTTTCTCATCAACAAGGAAAGGCTAGAGGGAAACGTGAAGCTCGAGGGCAGCCTTGGCTGTAGTGGCCATGAAATGGTGGAGTTTGAGATCCTTAGGTTGGTAAGAAGGGCCTACAGCAAGCTTTTTACTCTGGACTTCAGGAGAGCAGACTTTGGCTTCTTGAGAGATCTGCTTAGTAGAGTAAAATGGGATGAAGGGACCAAGAAAGCTGAGTAATATTCAAGGATCACCTCCTCCAAGCTCAGGAGCAGTGCATCCCAACAAAGATGAAGTCAGGCAAGAATGCCAAGAGGCCTGTGAATGAACAAAGAACCCCTGGACAAACACCACCAGAAAAAGAAAGCCAATGGAGGGTAGAAGCAACGACAGGTAGCTTGGGCGATATCCAGAGAAATAGATGATCAAAGCATTGGAGAACCTCTCCTGGGAAGCCAGGCTGAGGAAGCTGGGCTTGTTCAGCTTGCAGAAGAGAAGGCTCCAGGAGACCTTAAAGCAGTGTCCAGTGCCTGAAGGAAGCCTACAAGATTGATGCAGAGGGACTTTTTACAAGGCTATGTAGTGATAGGAAAAAATGGTTATGGCTTGAAACTCAAAATAGGGTAGGTTCTGATTTGATATCAGGAAGAAATTCTTCACTATGAGAGTAGTGAGGCACTGGCATAGGTTGTTCAGAGAAGCTGTGAATGCCCCATCCCTGAAAGTGTTCAACACCAGGTTGGACAAGGCTTTGAGCAACCTGGTCTATTGGAAGATGTGTCTGCCCATGACAGGGTGTGGGATCTTTAAGGCCCATTGCACTCCAAACCATTCTGTGATTCTA